CTCAATTAAGTACACAGTACTTTTTATAATTAATTTTCTTTTCTCTGTTTCCAGATCTCAGTAGTACCTTTTACAATAAATAGAAAAATTATAATTTCTATTTTCAGAAGATTACATTTTAGGCCTTATAATAGGCATTTCCAGATTCCTGTCTTAAAAAGAAAGCTGCAGAAAATGGCTTTCCACCAGAATAAAGAAAGCAAAGAACTGCTAGCTGTCAACATACCTCCGCCTCCATTTATTAAGCCTTCTTTTCCGTATCTGTCATAGATGTCACGTTTTTTAGCTACAAGAAGAAGTTGTACATCATGTCAGTAAATAGGCACATTGAATTTGGAAAAAAAAACAAAAACTGGTATTCTCAACTAAACATCTTCTCAAAGCTAGTTTATTTAAGAAAGTTCTGGCACATAACTGGTCAACATTTTTTCAAGGATTGCCAAAGCAATTTCGGTTCAGAAAGAACAGATAGCAAACTTTATAGACTGATTACCACTTAGTTGTAGCAGCTCAGGTCCTGCTCTATCAGGAAAAAACTGGTATAAGGACAAACTTCACAAGAAAGTTTGCCTTTAAAAAGAATACTGCAGTCTTCATCTTCACATAGGTACCATGGAAAGATTTAGGTTGTAAAGGACCTCTGGAATTCAACCTTCTCCTCCAAACGAGTCGCATCTCAAAGTTGGTCAAAACTCGCCTGGATAAAGCCCTAATCTCATCAATCTCCAAGAAAATAAGATTCCACAGTCTCTCTGGAAAACAGTCCCAGTGCTCAAGTATCCTCATTGTAAGCATTCTCTTCCTTCTATCCAACTAGAATTTCCCTTGTTGCAAACCTTGACTACTGCCTCTTTTCCTCTTATTGCACAAGACCAAGCCCATTATGACAGAGTTACGAGAATGGAATGACAGTGTTTGTATGAATGACTTCAAATCCTCTCAAATTAATTACAACCATTTCTAGTTTAATAAAGGGAAATAAAGTAATGTTAAAAAAATGCTATGGAAGGATTTGACTCAAACTGTTTGCTCTCTATTATCTAGAAGGCATGGAATAGCTCTTTCTTAATGTAACTGCAGACCAGCCTTCCAGTATCCATGAGAAAGGAGAGAAAAATTAACTCTACATTACTATGTAAGATCAGACTGCATTGTTGGTACTGGAAGGGAACCTGAAGAGCTTAAAGAGGCAGTCAGTTAGCTTATTTTGCTTGCACTGCTGTGGAAGCATCAGCCAAAAACCAGTCAGGGCATCTGATTTTAGACTCTTAATATAACAGGCTATTCCCACTGGAATATTTCACTGGAACCTCTTCAGTGAAAGATGGTTTTGAAATTTAAATAGCATCACTGAAAGAACATGCATTTACCTCAAACAGCTACTGAAAAGTAAAATACCTCTGACTGACAGGAATTAAAATTTTATATACTGGTCATCATCTCCAAACAATGGAAACGTGCAATAGGGTCACACACACATCCCCAGCAAAGCCTGGTACATTACCCGTATTGCCTTTTTAAAGAAAGGAGGTTAACCAACCCAGCAATGTAAAAAGACCAAAGCAGTAATGTAGACAAACTGTCAGAAGGAGCAGGAAGCAGCAAGGAAGACTAGGGGGCTCACAAAGCCCAAAGTTTATCTTGAAAAATATAACATTCTTGAAACCACAAGTGAAGTGTATTCTATGATCACCCAATTTCAGTATTTTTTGCTTATGTAACCTCCTACAGAACTATTCTTCTGCCAAAAATCGGTCTTCATTCAAGCCTGCAACAGTGCCTGAAAATTTCATTAAGTCTGCAGAACAGTTGATTGCCTCTCAACCACAGGGCTCAGGATTCAGATACCCCTGCTGCACAAATGATTGTTAAGCCACCAGCAATTTACGATTTGGTCTAGATCCAAAAACAGGCAGCATTTTAAGACAACGTTCTAAAATTTTAGCAGTGTACTGTTTCCGAAGAACTTAAAGATCTGTATAACAACCAGACCAGTATCCTATTTTTATCTTGCTGAAAATATTCGCTTAAGAAGTTTAAATTACTCTAGAAGACAAGTATACAATGAACTGCCCATGAATTAAGTTCTGTTTCTCCCCTGTCAATTAAGTATCAAAACCAACCAAAGAAAAAGGGTGTGCAAGACTACAGCTTGATAAACCACGCCAAATTCTGAAAGGTAATCTAGATGCTACTAGTGCTTTAAATATAGCTTTCCCAAACTCACTGGTCTCAGGTGAAATCAAGGACACTTCAGAAATAGCATATAGACAGCTGCAGTCAATTACAGGGGAAAATAATCAAAGTGGCTTAAATCACACTGTTAGGATTCAAACTGCTTTTGCAAGAACACTAGCAAAGGTTAATGATAGTTTTCAAGCAAAAAAGATATGGGTGAACTACAAAGTGAATTCCTGTACCACATGGGTCAGGCAAAGCAACTGTTTCAGAACAATTCAAAATAAACACTCTCCGCAGTATCTCAGTTGACTGAATTTATGGAATTCACTCAAACTCAATCCAAATTTTCAGCAAGGTTTACAGTACGCTTGGGCTTTGTCAAGACTAGCTTATTGTTACAAGAACTAGAAGCAGTAGGCCCAGCAGTAGATACAGTTTGTCTAGACTGATTTCTATTGGATAAACACAGTAATTCCCCTATACTGACGGTAACATTGGCTTCACCTCCTAAGAGAAAATGAATCGTGGTATTCAGAGATATTTCTTCAGAAATTTCTGAAGAGGGCCTGGCAAACATAGGATTTCAATTTCTAGAAGGAAACTGGTTTGATTACTCATCTATAGAGATCCTGATGTTTTTGTTTCAAAATTTCTGCTTAATCTGTCCTATCTGCAAGCTTCTTTTTCTCTCCTTTCTTTTGATAAGGAAGTAGTTCAGTTGGATGGTAAACCGAAGTTACAATATCCCTTTAAAGCATCATACATCAGCATTTTCAGTCTGATACCCACACTACAGACCTGCTGTTCAAGAGCCCATTTAAAATACCTACCATCTGACAAAACTTCATAGGCCTCAGCTACTTGTTTAAATTGCCGTTCTGCCTCTTCTTTATTGTCTGGATTTTTATCAGGGTGCCATTTTAATGCCAATTTACGGTACCTAAATGGAAAGAAAACAAAGGATATCTTACTCTGAAATGAAGGAATATGCTATACAGATAAATACAAAATATTTCAAACAAGTATTTAGAAATTCCCCAGTCCTTTATATCTTGTGTCTAGACCATTAGCAAGAGATTTTGCAAGTACACAAAGAACCATCTACTCAGATTTGCTTTAAAAAAAAAGAAAAAAGCAGGTTTGGGGTTCTTTAGGTATTTTGAAATTAGTTATTCTTTTGTGTTTCTGATGATCAACATTTGGCAGGTCTAAGCAAAACATTCCACAACATTTCTGCTATGGGCTTCTCTTTAGAGCTCCATCATTATTCAATACTACAACCAAGCATGGGAAGCATCAAGAGTACTCTTCTGATACAGACAGAGAGGATACAGCTCAAAGAGTACCCTGATACCGAACTGTGGCAGCATCCTAACATCAGTGGCTTCTTTGACTGCTATACTCACACACAATTCCTATCCCCAAATGAAGTTATTTTAGGCAAGTTCCTAAGCACTTAGAGGGGCAAAGCTAAGCTTGCACTTAGGTCAATTTGAGTATTTTACATAGAGTCACACAAGACACAGTTCAAACATTTGAGTTGACAAAGTAGTATGCGCAGGAATTTGCAAAAGAACAAGGGAGGAGGGAAAAACAAAGAAATCAAACTTCCACACAGTAGTGCAATTTGATTAATTAGGCTCAGACTCCTAGGAGAAGGCAAGAGAGAAACTCAGTATTTCCAGGTCACTTGAAACTGCAATTTATTGTCAAACAGTTCTGTAGTACACATTTCTAGTATACCAAAAATGCCTCCTCCCAATTGTTTGTGGAAAAGTAAACTGTCTCTTTTGAAAATGTCACAAACACCCATCTTAAAATAGTACATAAACAGTAAATCTAAACAAAGAACTGTATTTAATTCCTTTGAACATTCCTAATTTAAACAGTGGGGGTTTTTTTAATAGTAACAGATGTTCAGTCCATCAAAATCCAAGCACAGAAACCAGACCTCATGTCAAGAAAGAGCTAGTATCCAAAAAAGCAGCATGCCAAATACTTGTTAATAACTTTGAAAAAACAAATGGAGATGAAGACTAGTTACTGCAATTCAGCCACAGAAGGAAGGGGCTGTCACTGCCTGTACCATATCAAGTTTGGAGGCACACCTGTACAGAAATCAATGATCAAAAACCACTGGCTGATGGCATTTTCACTTTAGCAGTACTCAGGATTCTTTTCCCAATTTCATAAAAATGAGCAAATGCTTTTTCTTCAGAACACTAAGTATTTCCTCTGGTAGTGAAGGTATCACCTCAGATGACTACTACTCATCCTACTATTGACAACTGAAAATCCAGAAACCATGTGGTTATGTGTTCCTTAAAATACATAACTTATATATACACACCAGTGATACTTACGCTTTTTTAATATCTTCTGCTGAGGCATGCTTTTGCACTCCCAGAACTTCATAGTAATCCACCATGTTTCAGTAGTTGTCTTGTTAACAACCGCTGAGTCTCTCAAGCCCTGTAACAACAAGAACTTGTAAATAAAGCTTGTACAGTGATGCTACTTCACAGAAGTCATGTAGGAGCCAAGTATCTTCCAGTACCAAACCTGATCTGAAAGAGCTGCTTGTTTTCAGAAATTCAAATGTTCCAAACACCAAAAAAAAAAAAACCCTTTATTTTATGTTGACGGATCAAACAATTACTTTTATTCTGATTTTTGTTTATGTTCTTTAAACCCACTGAAACACAGTGCACAGAGATACAGGTAAACAGCACCTTCCTGAAACAAGTTAAGACTGAAAAACTAGATTTAATCAGTATATTAAGAGTACATACAGTATGTCATCATTTTGATATATACACTAATAACTCTGAATGCAAAAGAAACAACGTATCTTGTTCACTTTATGTCATCTCTGACACCTATGTCATGTCTTAAGCACATATAAGCATAAACAGAAGGCCACCTATTTTACATCTGCTGCTCTGAATACTACTTCCACTCTGAGATGCTCCCTTCGAAAAAGCAATGTATGTGCAGGTCTACTCAGTTTAAATACTGACAGTTTCTTGTCAATATTAAGAAAATAGTTACAAGAACAGTCATACTAACCGTAATTTGAACTAAATGACCTCAAGAAACTGCCTAAATATTTCAAGAGCATTTCATCTCTTCATGCAAGGGCTGCTTCTTCCCACCACTGTAACAAGTCTCCATTCTGGCAAAACTTCCAACCACCCCTCCACCCTGCCACTGCTGCTGGTTCGTTTCAAGTTTTATGAACAAGGCAACACTGACCTTTTCACTGAGTTATCAATTCATTGCAAGCAAAGTCACCGAAACATACTTAGAACATGACAATACAGCAATGTATTAGTCACATTTTCTTATCCGTACATCAAGAACAAAAATTCATTGAAAGCACCACCCCTCCAAGTCATTCAGTGTTTTTCATTTCAGCCCAGGCAAAGTCTCATTTTCATGTTCTTTCACATAAGTGCTGAAAGAATCAAGCATGATATAGCCCAGTGAAATATTCTGAAATTAATTTATTGTACTAGTATTACATGTATCTTTCAACATCCTGGGATACAAATATTAAAGACATATTTCCTTTTAAAATAAATCGGTATGTCTTCAAAATACGTTGCTGTTGTAGGTTAAAGCTTAATTAACTTTAATTAGGGATGTGGTTACCCACACATTTTCTCAAATGGCAAAACCAGTTTAAGAAAGACCCTGCCATGCTACCTCCCCCCTCCAAACTACTTACAGAACCAAAAGTACTGGAGGAGCTACGTGTTTTTAAAACTTGGATGGTTTTAGCAACCTAGTTAACCATACAGTCCCACAAACACTTAGAAAATTAAAGGGTAGCAGGTAAACAGACCTCTAATTGACTTTGCCCTTTTGAAGAAACCTCCACACTGAAAAAATAGTAAAGGTATATTTAATATTGTGACCAAGACCAAGGGAAGTTGGGAGACATGCATTAAAATTAATATTAAGAATGCCAATACTAATATAGTAATAGCAGGGTTCCATATGTAAACATATAGATTACCCAAAATATCCCAGAATAATTGCTGTCAACTAGTCTCACTAGTTCTGCTGTTTCCCAAACAACGATTATAAGAACAGCTCTGAGAATACACGGGTAAGGACCATGGTTAGCATGGCTCAAGTATGTTATCAAATGCTGCAGCCAATCTTTATGAGCAATAGCATATATGGAACATATAGTTTACAGAAAGAAATAGAGGCCAGAATCTAGTATGAGTCAACCTTAAGGCTAGAGGTCAGAGCCCCTCCTAACAAGAGATACCAGTCTAAAACCAGCAAGCTAACAGCAGGAAGCCACAACACATAAGAGCACATACCACACTGCTAAGTGTTTTTTCCATATTCTTCTTTTCTTCTTAAATGCAAGACTTGCATTAGCACTCCTCTCAATTTAGGCAGATATCTTAAAGGTAAAATACGAAACTCAACCTTCTAGCTAGAATAAGCAGGTAGGAAAAGCAGCTTAGATCTAAGAAGTAAATCAGAGAACTTTGTGCACATTGGTACTCGTATCGATTTCAACATATGTTTCTTTAAACTCTAGCTGTTTCTTTAAAAACAGTGCTGCAGTATTATACGTTCAGACTCAATACATATACCAATATATCCTGAACATCACAAGCCTGAAGCTGGGACCAAAAATGAGCGCTGAGGCAACGTGACTAGTGCTTATTAGATTACTCTGACCCTAAAAAGCAACTCCCCCAAGAACAGAGGAATTATTTGTTTCAACGGAATGTCTGGGGCTTGCATAGTCTATCTTTTGTGAGTATGTTATTGTTCAGTTTTTAAATGCTACTAATATAAAGTCTGGAATTAAGACAAGCCGGCAGCTCTCTAAAGAAAACAAACTGGTTATATTCTCCTCCTCTTAATCAAACATTCAAGTGACACTAAAAGTTCATCTCCAATTAATCATTACTTCTCTCTGCTAGTTACCATAAAGCACAAACAGCATTGCTACATTTTTCGGTATCATAGGAACTATTTTCTTGTGTGCAAAAAGGTTTTAGCAATATTTATTTGAAGAAAATTCATCTGCAGCTTTTTTTTTGTCCAACTTAAGCAAAACATGTAACAACATGAAACAGTGTCAGCTAGTATTTAGCCCCTTAAAAATACTTGGAATTGTGCTCAACATCCAGTAAAACAAAACAATCCCACCAAACCACAAAAACAGACAGACAGAAAAAACCAGACCAACACAAACTAGAAAAGACCTCTGTCTCCAGTATTTACAGAAAAAAAAAATATTTAAAATATTCACCTAAGAAAACAACCACCATCAACTTATAACAAAACAGAAAATGGCTGATTAAAAAAAAGGCAGTTTTAGGCTAGTAGGAATCTGCATGGTGAAAACGCCTAAATGTTTCAAAGCAGCAAACCATACACCTTCCTGCAAAACGAAAAGCAAAAATACTCAACTGTCCTAACCAAAACATGACAAAAATCTTCTTCCAACCCCAAATCTGTCAAATAATTCGTCTCCAAATACACAAGCAAGGCTCATTAACTAGGCACTCAAGAGGGTGTTTTTTTTTTTCTTTCCCAAGGCCACAAGGAAGGCAACCCACATTAGCTAATTTCCCACCTCCAACCACAGAAAATCTTCAAAGGCCCAGAAGAAAAAACAAGCAAAAAACCTCCAGATGAAAGAAGTTGTTTCATGGCCTTTGTGTTTGCTTGCAAAAATCTATGGTTACTTGTGTTCATAACTGCACTATGTTTACAGGATGCTGTCAGCTACTCTAACACCTTCTTTGGAGAATGAACAAATCAAACATCCAAATGTTTATGTGAATCAAAAGTTTCCATAGCTTATAGATTTCTCAGTCATCACAGGAGAAGTCAGCTTTGTTCTGGCTTAGTGAGCACAAGCCCTGAATGCTTGTACTGACACAATGCAACTGATAGGAGTACATGACCAGGCACAAGACCTCCCACTTAACAGCACAGCCAGTGCTACATCAGTTCAGTTATCTTAAAACCCAGCCCATAAACTCTCTTTACAGCAAAGTCCTCAGCTACATAAAAGGCATGAGAAAAATTACAGAAGATAGCTATGTAGAGAGCTATAAACTTTTATAAGTGCATTTGACAATGAAATGAAGAAAAAGTAAACAGCTGCACAACCTGCAGGGATGACAAAGCAGCACCCCTAACTAAATATGGAAGGGAGGAAGGTATCCAAACACAAACTTTTTAAATCAGGAGAGAATTCAGACAGCAAGGGGCACAAAACCTTTGCAGTCAGCCTAGTCAGAAAAAGTTACCTATTTCTGTCCACGAAGCAACAGCGCAGCACGAAGAGTCCTGAAAGATGCTAGAAGAGCTTGAGCTTAGTGACCAGAGCAGTCACCTGAGGAAGATGGAGTTCCAAATTTCTGATTCATGCAACTTGCCAGTCATCAACATCCTGCTGGCATCCAATTCCTAGTACCTGCCTGCTTTCTATGAACGTATTTAAAGGATTGAATCCTGCTGGCAACACAGGAAGAACACTGTGTTCTGAATCCCAGTTCAGCCTGAGTTTGTGGCTGACCTACTGAACAGTAACTGAGCTATTCAGAGATGTCTCTGGTATGGTAACAGATGATGCACACACTCGAGGATCTCTGGGAATTGCAACCTGTGATTAAAAAAATATATGATTTTTCACATTCCAGGATTTTTCACATTCCAAGAGTTTTTATTAGAAAGCAGTACGTCAGCTGGACCCGATGAAATTTTACACTCCTTCGAAGTATAAACAAGACTACAGGAGCATTAATACTGTTGTGGATCCAAGCCCATACAAAGAATAGCAAGCAACACACACACTTTCAAAGTTTTCTAGTATTTCTTCATTTGATTTTTATATAGCTAAGACACCTTTGCTAAGCTTTTTATTATTTACAGTACAGTAAATCCAGAGACATATATAAATATTTTCAGTCTTAAAGTAACAAATTTCAGATAAAGTTCATTCACTTCATTTGCTCACAAGCTACAGATTTCAAATGTAATCTATGAATTGTCATTACTTGCCTGTATCTCTCCAAGTTACCTGTCTAAAAGAAGGTTAAATAAAGATCAACCATAAAGCACTATTTGCCAAGGCTTCCAAGACATGTTTGTACCAGTAGCTCAAGGAGTTCTCACTGCCTGAAGAGATAACTGCCTTTAACACGCAGATACTGCTTATAGAAATTGCCTTCTGGTGTCGTCCTACGCCCTGACCAAAAAAAAAGACAAGTCTCTCACCACAACTCTTCAGAGCGGACTACCACTCGGGCAACAATCAAATGCATTTTACCTAGTACAATTCAGCAACACAGAAAGCTGTACGAGTCCCAAAACATTGGCCAAATCCCAAATAAAATGAAGAGATTTTTGTCAGTTTTGGCAACATTACCTGGGATGTGCCATATGTAACTGAGCTGAGACCCCAAGCAGTCTCTCGGCTGTACTAG